CCACCAAAAGAGGAAGGAAGAGGAAAAAGGCAGGAGTCTGAAATCTAATTCCAAATTTAAGTAGATGTTCCAGAACAGCTAAAGTCCAACAGATGCCTCCAGAGGTGTTGTCTGTCAAATCTCATATTTCCAAATTTCATTATGTTGGCCACTAGGTTGGGAAATATGATTCTAACCCAGGGGTCAGCAACCTTAAACACTTAAAGAGACATTTGGACCCATTTCACACACACACACACACAAACACCGGGAGCCACAAAACCCCTCCCGTGCCTGACTATTTCCTGAGCGGCCACAAAACTAGCATACGTCGTTGAATTAAACATTCTCTTTTCTTATGAAACTTTTCTTTTCTTGGATTTATCCATGGTTGGCCTTCCGGGGGTCGAAAAGCTCAAAGAATCATGTGCCGGCAGGTGTCACACATTGGCGGTTGTGACACATATTTTGAGCGACAGGGAGCCAAAGCAGAGACTGTAGGGTCCTTGGTACTCTCTGAGCTTCATGGTTTTTTTGCAGACATTTCATTACCCAACTAGCTAACCTCATCAGTGCTAAGTGATGCTACTGATTCCTGTACTATTACTACAGCACTGATGCTGATGCTGCAATTACTAACTGGCACTAAGCGAGCCAAGGACTACCTGGGTATGAGATCTTATTTCTTTTTCTGAGTCCCTCTACTTACTTATCTGAAAGCTCAAACAAGCCACTCAAAATCCCTAGTTAGTAGCTGGGTCAGCTAGTTAGCACTTACGGTGTGCAGAGAAATTCTATTTTTTTTTTCACGCTTCCTTGTTCAGTCCCACAGGAGGGAAAACTGCTTTTTAAAATTTATTTCCCAGGACTACAAAATACCAACTACCTTTTCCTGGTGATGGAATGCAACATTTCTATGTTCATTTTTGCAACGAGAGGAACGAAAGTTTTGGCAAAAAAATAGCCTACCTTCCTAGTTGGCTTCAATCGGCAACTTCTTCATAGTGGTAAGATGTGAAATTCCAGACCTCCAGAAAGTGGCATTTTTTGCTTTCCGTCACCTCCAAGGAGGAAGTCAACTCCCACTTCCCACTGAGAAAATTTTAAAATTCCCATGCACCTGGAGAACAAAGCAGAAAAACCAAGGTCTCCAGCAAGGCCCATTGTTTTGAGAAATTGGAAGGCCATTATCTGATAGGCAGTCCGCTTAACGGCAAGGTTATTGATTGTGGGACTTGATGTAGGATCCGTTACATTGTTCGGTGGGCTCCCCTGTGCCCACTGAAAGCAGCCCGGACATGGGCATAACAATTTTGCACAACTACATCAATTGGTCTCCAGGGACCAATTAACCCTGTAAGCTGCCCCCCCCCCTCAGCCCCTGCCCTGAAATTAGTCTCAATTGCTTTGTATCAACACCCATAACAAGACCAAAAGCTCCTAGGTTTTTTGCAGCTGTTGTTTTCCACAAGAATTTTGAATTTTTCCGGTAGGAGCAAAATGGTCCAGACGAGACTTTTAAGTCTAGCTAATGTCAAAGGACTTTTATTTTTGAATCAAGGGATTAATTATGTGCCACCGAGTTGTCATTGACTCTTAGCAACCACACAGATAGAGTATCTCCATTACTATCTGTTCCTAACCTGATATTCCAGGTCTTCTAAATGATGCATTCGGCTTTAAAAACATCAACCAAAACATTATTGAAATGCACAGCAAGATCAATGGCTCTTCTCATTCAACTATGTTTTGAGAGAACCTTTCCACTCTCAATGGCCCCTGCCCTGCAATGAGTCTCAATGGCCGAGGTTCAAGACTTGTAACAAGGCCAAAAGCTCCTATACCTTTGCGTAGGAGCTTTTGCTCACTCCGTTACGCGGCATGAGGGATTCGAACCGCCAAACTGCCAACCTCATTGATCAACAAGCTCAGCGTCTTAGCCACTGAGCCACCACATCTACCATATTTCTTGGAGTACAAGATGCGCCTTTTTCCCCTCCCAAAAGAGGGTGAAAATCTGGGTGCGCCTTATAAACTGAATGCAGCATTTTTGGCCTCCCGGAACTCCACCCGCTTCGCAAAAATGGATGCCCAGAGAGTTTGGGAGGCTTGCAAAGTGCTCCTGGGGGCTGGGGAGGGAAAAAATAAGTGAAAAGGGGGCCGTTTGTTTGCTCATTTTTGCCCCCCCGGCACTTTGCAGGCCTCTCAAACACTCTGCATGCCCTGTTTTCTACAAAAAAAATGAGGCATGCAGGGGTTTGGGAGGCTTGCAGAGTGCAAAAACTTCTCCTTCTCCTTCTCCTTCTCCTTCTCTTTCTTTCTCTTTCTCTTCCTCCTTCTCCTTCTCTTCCTCCTCCTCCCTTCTGCAAACCCCACTCTTCTCTAGCATTGATGATGTTAGCTAGTTCAGTAATGAAATGTCTGCAAGAAAACCATCACGCTCAGAGAGTGCCAAGGACCCCACGGTCCTCCTCTTCTCCTTCTCCTCTCTTTCTCTTTCTTTCTCTTCCTCCTTCTCCTTCTCTTCTCCTCCCTTCTGCAAACCCCACTCTCCTCTAGCATTGATGATGTCAGCTAGTTCAGTAATGAAATGTCTGCAAGAAAACCATCACGCTCAGAGAGTACCAAGGACCCTACAGTCCTCCTCTTCTCCTTCTCCTCTCTTTCTCTTTCTTTCTCTTTCTCCTTCTCTTCCTCCTCCCTTCTGCAAACCCCACTCTCTTCTAGCATTGATGATGTCAGCTAGTTCAGTAATGAAATGTCTGCAAGAAAACCATCATGCTCAGAGAGTGCCAAGGACCTCACTGTCTCCTCCTTCTCCTCCTCCTCTCTGCAAACCCCACTCCCTTCTAGCATTGATGATGTTAGCTAGTTTAGTAATGAAACGTCTGTAAGAAAACCACCAAGCTCAGTGGGCAATTGCTGAATTTATAGGCAACCACAGAAGCAACTCCTAGGAATATTTTTCGGTTGTTGTTTAGGAGTGGGTGGAGTGAGGGGAGAAAGTGGTTGTTTTAAAAATGGTTTTTGCCCAAGTTTCTGAGCAAGCACTTCGAATGTATGTTTTCTTTTCAATCCTAGATTGTCAGACAATAATAATTTAAACCCTATAAATAGACTTTAAAAAAAATAAATTAGTGATTATTTTCTGGGCTCTCTTCCAAGACAGAGAGAGATTTTTTTTCTCTTTATTTCCTGGAGCCAAGTTGGGATTATTCTTGATAGACCTTGATAATTATTTTTTAAACACTTCAATGGTTGTAATTAGTTTTGAACGGGCGTTCTTTAATTTCAGTCTTTGATTTGGCCTCCGGCCCATCCTGGCTTGACTTTTCTTTTTCAATTTTTCTTTCTGGGAATTTACGGTCTGATTCAAAAGCTGTTTATTCAGAAATCTGAACCCAGATTTGGGAAAAACAAACCAGCGAATCAGAGGTGGGTTTCAAAAAATTCTCGAACCTACTCTGTGGGTGTGGCATCCTTTGTGGGAGTGGCTTGCTGGCCATGTGACCTGGTGGNAAAAAAAGCAAAGATGAGAAATAGTTGAGATGCAAGCCCCATGCAAGAAGAGAAAGAAGTATTAAATGTCAACTGTAACCAAAAAAATAAATAAAAAGTTTCACAGAAATTCAGATTTAAATTTAGAAAGGCCCAGGAGATCTGGCTGGTGCTTTGCTTCCTTTGGAGAAACAGGTCACACATCCTGTATCAGTACTTTTGACGTGCATCAGTACTCATCTGTAGCCTTCTGTGAAAAGTTTGACAGGCTGACAGCTGCCAGGAAGACGGCGCTCTTGAGTCAAAAGCCCGGTAGCCTTTAACTCACTGGGGATGTTGCTGCATCCAAGAAAATGCCTTCTCCTTTGCCAAGAGAACGAGGCATAAATCTGGACCGAGCGCTTTTACCAGCCAGCAGAATTTTGTCACAAATCTTGGCTGGGGTGGGCCGGTGCTGATTAAAGGACAGGTGGGGACAATTTGCTGCCTTCTTCCTGCCATCATCCAAGGACAGGCCATGATTAAAGCGACGTTGATATCAATTTGAGGCTGAACTTTTAAAACCGGGCGATTGCATTTGTCAAAGCGGTTCGGGGATGCTTTACTGCTTTTAAAAAAGAGAAGATTAATTGATGGGAAAAGAAGACCGAAGAGAGGATGGGCAGGTGTTAAAAAATGCCTGTCAAACCTTCGCCGTGGCTTTGTAGAACTTGGGGAAGAAATTGCTGGGTTAATCCATTGCAGCAAGTCTTGTGGGCCCTAATAATGACAGTTTTGTTACAGTGGTGGGATTTTTAAAAAATTTACTGCCAGTTCTGTGGGCGTGATTTGGTGGGCGTGGCATGGCTTGGTAGGCGTGGCTTGGTGGACATGGTATGGCTTGGTGGGCGTGGTATGGCTTGGTGGGCGTGGCTTGGTGGGCATGGCAGGGGAAGGATTCTGCAAAATCTCCATTCCTTCCCCACTCCCAGGGAAAGTTACTGCAAAATCCCCATTCCCTCCCAATCAGCTGGGACTCGGGAAGCAGAGAATAGATGGGGGCATGGCCAGCCAGAGGTGGTATTTNGCAGTCAGCTAAAGTAGCCTGCAATGCTGCATTTAACCACTGCGCCACCTCGGCTCTAATATATGCTTGGTGATACACCTATGGAAAACAGCATTTGTCACATTTTGGGTTTTCAGGTGTCCATAGGATAGAGTACACTCCAAAGTATGTGTGTATCTTATAGTGACTAGGACACGGAGATACATTTCAATTATTTCTACCTTAATTTCTCTAGAAAGGAAAGAAGTAGCTAAAGTGGTGCAATAGAATGAGCAATTAATATATCTCTGGAATCCAAACAATGACTAATATAGAACTCTGACAGGACCTCCACTTCCTCCCTTGCTCATACCATAAAGCAGACACAAAACAATAACCATAGGAGTCGTGACATATTTCCAAGTTACTTCTTCCTGCTCTTCACTTTCAAAATGAGGATCTCACAAGCCTCTCCCTAATTTTCTTAAATATGACAAACTGTATCCTGGCAATGCTGATTTTCCCATATTCTGCAATCATATCTTTATTTCGGTACATTTCTTTCAATGAGGCTTTCAAGGTGTACATTTAAGCTAATTTGGTTTTCATCAAGAAGAAAAGAAAGTCTGCAGTTCTGAAAGGAAAGCACATTCGTAGCAAAACAATGTGAAGCCATATGACACTGTCATGGTAGCCTAACTAACAATACACGTCTGATTTTTACATCTGCCAAGAGACCAACCCTCAAAGTTATTATGAAAACATTTTTTGTAGCATGTGGTTCCCAAAAAGATAGATGCCGTTAAGAGATAACACAAAACTCATTTTCCTACACACCAGACAACAGCAGACAACATTGTATGCTGATGTTTACTAGCAATTTAACTGTCTAAATATTTCATAATGTTGTTCACCAGAGAATGTAAGAGGGACCATTATTGGCTTGCTAGTTGTCTGTGAATTGTTTTGCCTGATTGCTGTAAATGTACTTGTGCTCTCAGTTTAAATACACAACCTATTTTAAAGCTTGTATAAAATACACACCTGATTAAGCGAATTCTACTTCTGTCCCAGTAGTGGGATTCAAAAAATTTTACTACCGATTCTATGGACATAGCTTTGTGGGTGTGACTTTGTGGGTATGGCAAGGGAAGGATACTGCAAAATTCCCATTCCCTCCCCTCTCCTGGGATAAGGTTACTGCAAAATCCCCATTCCCTCCCCACTCCACTAACCTGCTTTCCAGCTCTGTTCTCCTGTATAGGACAACAAAAGAAGCTGGGAGGCAGGTGAAGCAGGGTCAGCCTATTTGCTGGTTCTCCAAACTACTCAAAATTTCCACTACCGGTTCTCCAGAACCTGTCAGAACTGACTGAATACCACCTCTGGTCTGCCCACCTAGGCCCACCTAGGTTTCATTACAGATGTGTCTCAGACCCAGAGTGTTTTTAAAATCTCACCTCAATGCTGGAATATGCAAGATGCTTATGGACCTATACACAGTATCATTATGTCCATTTGCCTGTCCTGTTAGCGAAATCTTAATAAAGAATAAAGAATGTTTTTTAAAGCTACTATTAATGTTACTCTAAAAATAGAAATAAGGACACTTCTATAGAAACTAAAACATGCTGGTCTTCTATTCATATGTATTGTGAATATGTATTTCTTTAGATTATACCAAAATCTTTCTTTAGCTCTGGAAAATGCAAGCAAATGAAACTTATACTGCTGGGAAAAATGGCTGCGCTTCCAGTGCTTACTAAAAGAGAGTCATATTTGTCTCTCTTGATTAAACTGAAGAGGATTTCCCAGCGAATCACCAAAACTGACATTGTTGATAGATAGCCAATCTCAGAATTACCAGTTACTCACCAAAGTAACTTTTGGTGTGTATTTTAATTACTTTTACAGAACCTGGTGGCTGATGCCAGCATCTGACCTTACCAGTTTACACATTTAGGAACAACAACCAAAACAACAACTGGACTAGTAATTGATTGGAATTTTCCACATTCATAGGAATGTTTGAAAACAAAAGCTTGGTTCCAAAAGAGCCTGGTTTGATTACAAGGTGCAAATAAGGCTGAAAAGAGCTGTAAAAATTTTATAGTATTGAAGTTCTGGGAGAAGGGGAAACCTCCAGAAAGGAAAAGGTTTACATGCAAAATGACAGTTACAGCATCCCTATGATCACGTGACTTACATTCAAATGCTTGACAACTGACTCAGATTTATGACAGTTGCAGCATCCTGGGATTCCATTTTATGCCATTCTGACAAGCAAAGTCAATCTGGGAAACCAGATTCACTTAACAACTGTGTAACTAATTTAAGAACTGCAGTGATTCACTTAACAAATGTGGTGAGAAAAGTCATAAAATGGAGCAAACTCACTTAGCTAATTTCTCACAACATAAATTTTGGGCTCAATTATGGTCATAAGCTGCAGGACTGCCTGTACTCCAAATCAACTTTATCCTATTAAAGTGATGTCCATCGCGTTTTGTTTTAAAAGGCAGCTAGATTTGCAGCTTCAAAAAGTACTGTGATTAACAGGTGCTAAATTGGCAAAAGAGCCTTTAAACTGGTGAATTTCATATTTTTATTCTGAAAAGTAGGAGAGTATAATTCAGCACTGGAAATATTTTGTACAAAGCATTCAAGTGTTTTTTCCCTGAGAAAACAGAGGAAATAGATTATCTTCAGGGCCTATCAGTGAAGACAGAAATCATTTTTTGTTTTTCTTCCTCTTTAGCTGTTTCTCTCTCTGTCTCTGTCTCCATATACAGTACATAGCAATAGCAATAGCAATTAGACTTATATACCGCTTCATAGGGCTTTCAGCCCTCTCTAAGCGGTTTACAGAGTCAGCATATCACCCCCACAGTCTGGGTCCTCATTTCACCCACCTCGGAAGGATGGAAGGCTGAGTTGACCTTGAATCTCCATTCCCTCCCCACTCCAGGGGAAGGATGCTGCAAAATCTCCATTCCCTCCCCACTCCAGGGG